TGTTTGGCGGATGCATGTGTTTTTCGATTGATGGAGGATGGATGTGTGATCATGATCATTGTGGTCCACGTGGATGACACTTTTGCCGTAGGGCAGAAGGAGGGATGTGAAAAGTTTGGCAGTGACCTCAACGCGATGGTCCCCGTGAAAAACCTTGGGGAGTTGAGGTGGTACTCCGCGTGCTTTTACCAGAGAGATCTAGAGAGAGGCCTTTTGAGGATCTCGCAGCAAAGGTTTGCAGAAGAGTTGGCTGCAGAGTACGGCGTTGAGTAGGGGAAGAGTGTGCCCTTGTCTGTGAGCGTGAAGCTCATCGACCTTGACGAGAACGAAGCGTGTGCTGATGTCCCGTTTCGCGAGTTGGTAGGATCTCTGATGTGGTTGGCCACTCAAACCAGGCCGGACATCGCGAATGCAGTACGAGCAGTAGCGCGGTATTGCGCGTCTCCCAAGATGGTGCACTGGAAGGCAGCACTTGGTATTTTAGGGTACGTGCGTAGGACGAGTTGGATGGGGATTACATTTGAGAATGGAGTGGTCACTGGCATGAGCATGCAGGTGTTTGTGGATGCCGACTATGCAAGCAAGGCAGCAGACCGTAGGTCGGTCTCAGGAGGACTAGTGATGTGTGGGGGTGGGTGTGTGACTTGGTTTTCGAGGACGCAGAAGTGCGTCACGCTCTCCACAACGGAAGCAGAGTATGTGGCAATTGCCGACGTCTTGAAGGAAGTGCTTTTCTTGAGGCAGGTTTGGCGTATTATGTTGCCAGATGCAGGTAGGTATGCCGTGCATCCGGTCTTCGAGGATAATCAGGGAGCGATTCAGATTGCGCACAACCCGATCTCGAACTCAAACTCGAAGCACATCGATGTACGGCATTACTTTATCAGGAAACTGGTAGAGAGGAAGGAGATTTCGATTACGCATGTNGGACGAGTTGGATGGGGATTACATTTGAGAGGGGAGTGGTCACTGGCATGAGCATGCAGGTGTTTGTGGATGCCGACTATGCAAGCAAGGCAGCAGACCGTAGGTCGGTCTCAGGAGGACTAGTGATGTGTGGGGGTGGGTGTGTGACTTGGTTTTCGAGGACGCAGAAGTGCATTACGCTCTCCACAACGGAAGCAGAGTATGTGGCAATTGCCGACGTCTTGAAGGAAGTGCTTTTCTTGAGGCAGGTTTGGCGTATTATGTTGCCAGATGCAGGTAGGTATGCCGTGCATCCGGTCTTCGAGGATAATCAGGGAGCGATTCAGATTGCGCACAACCCGATCTCGAACTCAAACTCGAAGCACATCGATGTACGGCATTACTTTATCAGGAAACTGGTAGAGAGGAAGGAGATTTCGATTACGCATGTGACGTCGGAGTTTCAGTATGCAGATTTCTTGACGAAGGCCATCAGCAAGGAATCTTTTGAGTTGCACAGAGAGAGACTTTGTGATGAATTTGCAGCGAAAGAAGTGTTTTGGGATCAAATCGTTTTTTGCCGCGGAATGGAAGAGAGAGGATATGTACGGGTTTGAACAAGAGATGGAGAGAGTCAAGTAGAGATTGTAGTGTTTTCTAGAGTTAGTGTTTGGGGCTTTTCTTGGTGATTTGGAACAGTTGGTATGCGATTGATTATTTTCGGACGTATTGTTTTGGTGTTGGGATTTTGAATTTTGTCTTGGTTTTGATCGTGTTGTGGGATGAACTGGTGGTATGAGAAGGATGACTTTGATATTTTGCCGGAGCATGACGATGCATACGAGCAGG